TTGTTCAAAACATTATCAGAAAATTGATTGAGCCATAGCAACATAACCGGTAAGACGTTACCTATTAATGATGAATAAAAGCAGCAGTGAATGTTCCTGTAAGGAAGTGGGGAAATCGTCCAAAGTGAGGAGAGGGTTGATGTTTCGCCTGTTGAAAGGGAAGCCTCAACCCCTTTCCTGGGCGAAGCACTTGTGATCATAATGACCCTCATGGGAGCATTTTCGATTAGAATGACGTGATAGTTGACAAGGGAAGTCATCAAGCAGCTTATCATTAAATATTGTGCAGTACGGTATGCTTCGGGTATCAGCAGCAATGGTACTTAGGACATGATCACGGATGGAAAAGACCAATGATAGTTCCTGTGGCTACGCACAGGTGAGAGACCTTACTGAGGCGACGAGAGAGAGATGGGTTACCAAAATGGGAATCGTGGATGAATGGACTCATATACTTCCTGAACAATGACTGGGTGTTACGTATTTCAGAATCCTAAATGTGACAGCATGGGGTTATTCTTAAAACAGCCACTGGGCCGGGCAATCCAACACCGTCTGTGATATGTGTCCTCCAACAATAAGAAGCACGAAGCATGCCATTAGAAATGATGCCACGACTATTAACAATTTCCTACGATAAAATGGAAATAAACAGCTAGAAACGGAATTTTCCGAGTCCTTCCCTGCAGTTACTCCCTTACAGCTTATCTTATATCATTTTTTAGGCTATTGGTGACATTCGCATTGGAAACCTGCAAGGTCCCAATCCTTTTCGAAGACCCAGTACATGAAAATCTAAGCCCTTTACTGGATGCGAAAAAGGCGAGAAAAGCAATGGAGTCTGAATGCCCAAAATATGAAGTCTACTTCACACTCAATCATTTCTACTTTTGTACGAATTAACGGTTTCGACAGATGCTTTTGTATGAGATTTCAATCGTAACAAAGCAATGCGTGCTATTTACTACAAAGCCATAAAGCCTCTATGGATCGATCACTTTCGTAGCAAATATGCTCCATTTACGATGTGTCAACCTCTGTAATGCCGTTGAACACGTCCATTTGAGAACGCTAAACGACAGTGAGGCTACCTTAACCGTTTATTGGCCCAAAAACGTTCCATGTTGTCCTTTTAAGGGTCATAGTTTCCTGTCAAAATAAGGAAACTTCGAAATTAGCTCTGCCGTGTATTGAGTCTTCAAGCCAAACTGCTCAGGCGAAGTTGAAGAGAGCGTCTGATGGGTTCAAGCTATTTTGCAAGGAGAAATTTGAAGAGACGATGAAAATGTGGCCAACCAATAATTTCCACAAATGCAAGGTCAAAAACATGTAGTCTGGGACTAAAAAAATAATTTAAATATGGGTCATTGAAATTTTCATTAGGCCTTCGTGAACAAAGCCCATAGCTTCACTGCATTTTCTAAACAAATTTATTTTCTAAGCTTTTTGAATGAAACGATCACTGGAAAGAGAGGAACGCGCTCTAATCCAATTTTGGAACAAAAGAAGAGGCGGAGCTTTTTTCCATAAACGGTAAAAAACAGTTGCACCTCTATTTCTCTCCCTCTCCCTCTCTCTCACCCGAACCCAAATTGCGCTGCTGGGCAGCTGTAAAAGTTGCTCCGGCTCTAAAATCTCCGGCAACTTTATGCAGAGAAATTCAAAAGGCTCAGAATGGGTTTGATGAATCGTTTCATTGCAATTTCGCCAGAAGGAAGTTGCGCCTTTTCCATCTCTATGAGCATGCATGCCTTCTGCCCCTTCGTAAATTTACTTCGGAGATCATCTGATAAGAAAAAACTTCAAAAATGTGTTCGCTATTTCACCGATTGCTCCATATAGTATTTTTTTGATGCAGAGACTGTTGGTGAGTACCAAATTTTGTGGCCGGAAAGAAGAAGTTCCCCGCCCGTCCCCGGAAGCCGGCTTGCGCACTGCACTGATTACGTATTCAAGGCTTTTGCTCAGAGCTAGAGGAGTGTCTGGTGCCCTCAAAGCCGCAGAACTTCGTCATTCGAAAGGGGACTTTCATCACCCTTGTTTCTCTTTGAGACCGTTCTTTTTCGAGAACTAGGAGACTTTTTGAAACTAGTAATGAAAGAAGTACAGAAAGTTGGCTACATCAAAGGAAAACGAAAGCAAACAGCTTCAATAGCCTTCCTACAGTGTTTGAGGGCATAGCTCACAATAAAAATAGTTCCTGACACATCCACTCAAGATGAACATCTGTGCTTCCCCCTTACCCCTTCCCACTC